AGCCATAAGTCTAGTGCGACAAAATTGGGCAGCGGACGCGTTTGAGTTCATTCGAGCTTGAGGCACTACGTAAGCCGTCGGGGAATAATCGTTTTGGGTCCGGCAGGACTTAGGGTCGAGCGGGGTAAAAATATGGCCGCTCGCTCACGACCTTTTACGGACCTGGCCTGCAGAGCAAATAGGCTTTATATGTTGTGCAAAAACTCTTGCCTTCATTGAAAACCCTGTGATAAGGCAACTGGGCGAAAAGGAGAACTCTTTCTTAATGTAAGGAGAAAAAATTAGGTGAGCTTCGAAAGCGGGATTTTAAAGGACGTTTCACCTGACGTAATCAACACTCTACCACGGGTGGTATTGTTATAAGCACATGTCTTTTCCAAATTAGATACTGCAAAGTCGTTGAGTTTGAGGTTTGTATTGAATCCTGCTGTCAATAATACTCATGCCTGTTGAATTATCAAACTCTACTTAGTGCGCAAGATCTGATGCACCGACATAGCGCACCTGGAAAGTTAAAAGATTATCCCGTTACCTTAGTATACATGAACTGAGGCCAGTGAAATCTACCGGTACTATCTGAGACTGACAGTTTAACTAGTTCATTGAACCCATAATGTATGTATAAAGCTTATGAAAGAATATGCCCCTTTGAGAATAGCTTCATACAGCCTTCAGTTGTCGTTTCGTTAAATAAAAAAGCAAACGGGGACTGTATACATGTAGTGACCGCTCTTCAACAACATTAAGCATCATAACATTTTCTTCAATCCCACTCAGACCTCATTTTCTTCGATCGCACTTCAACCGACCTCCAGTTGCCTCATTGAGCCGACTGTATGAGATTGGTAAGCGAATGAAAAACTAATGTACATTGCTATAATGCGTTAGAGAAATCGGACCGGATTTCGCACCCGGTGCTTTTGTCCAATTCTACAGCTTATGGAATACAATACATCTCAACTTATGGCGATTGTCTCGAGGAGCTCGCATCTTGTTGCTCCACAGGCTGACCTTCGACCTGCGGGATAGTAGAGCAGGGTCTTGGCTTTCGGAACGAGAAGAGACGAACAGGACCTTCGCTGTTCGTTCCGGTTACTGTTGAGTCAGCACCTTCCTTCCTGCTTCCGCAAAAAATGGTGTCCTCGACTGAGTGCCAAGTGTCGTTCAGCAGCATTGGCGCACGGACGATGTACTCCAGCATAGCAAGGGATCATGTCAATTCATCTGTAAAAGAAAAGATGGAGCTCTAATAGGAGGGAAAGGGCTCAAGGTGAGCAATGTAGGTATCTAGGCACTGTCTGTTGTTTCTTTCTACTTTTCAGTAGAATGGTGTGAAACTTATATCTGTCTATATTAAATGTGGGAATAATCAGGTACGATCATCGTCCGTTTGTTGATTATGATGCACCGGAAATGGCGAGTGTAGCCCCTGGACCTTAGGCAACTGATCACATCGTTGCCTCGCCGTTGAAGAAAAAAGGGGCAACAGCAGCAGCAGACTAAAGGCATCCAAATTCTCTTTTTCATTACTCAGGTTGCCATTGACGTTAACGGCGACGCTAATGATGTCTTTTTCTTTCCTGTTTTCCTTCGCCCTTTATCCATCTCGTAGGTATCCGTCCATTATACTATCGTTATTGCTTACAGCTTTGTTTCATGCAGTTCATCCATACCTGCATAGGATTGATTGCTTGACAAACAAATCCACGGCGTCTTGATCTTCGTAACTAAGGCGATTGCTTCTGCGTACATGAAAAGGACGAATAAGGGTCAACAAGAGAATAAAGCAAAAGGAAACGGATTGACGTCCAGGTGCTGTTAATGCTCGTTTCTCATCAATAACGATAATACAGTTTAGCCATTAGTAAAGATGTGGTGATCTTAGCTCCAAAAAGAAGTCAAATGAATCTGAAACGTAATCAACCAGCAGGCTAGTCACCTACCGCCTAGGAAAAAGATAGGGCACCCATATGTATAAAGCAAACGAAATGGATAAAAAGAGGATGTGCACGTATATGTGCGGGGATCAGGGGCATTTAGAAAGGGGACAGCCGCAGTCCCACTAAATAGCAGTATAAAGGCAAGACGAACGGGAAAAATGACCATGGGATGACATGAATGCGCTTGTTTATGGAGGGATGTGATCTAAGCTGTGTAGGCCAAATAAAAGGGTGCCGCCTACTCACAAAGCCTAAAAATCCAAGGAGAGATGCCTAGAAAGAAATGCATTCGTGCTCCGAGCACAATCACCAAGAAGGGGTGACACGAGTACAAGCATGACCTTGAAGATATGCCTCGCCCTGCGACTATGCGGTGTTGAGAAATGATGCCGAATAGCAGACGAAACGGAACGCGTAAAAGAGCAAATGTCACACGGAAGAAGAGTCATCGATTGTCGCGCCTTGCTCTACTATATTGCTGCGGTGTGTAGCATGGTGCTATGGTGAGGTACCGGCGATAGTAGCACAGAGGCGACTGCTTCTGCCGCAGTTATGGTTTCCGGTACAAGTAGTAGTGGCAGTGACGGAAAGGGGTTCACAGCAGTGGCGGAACCCGCAGGAGCAACAAATTTGTGTCGACACTTCTGTAAGCGGCAGTGGCAGTGGCCGAAAAGGCAATGATTTCGACTTTCAGTGATATACCGATGTGGCGAAAGATGGTGGGGCTTGACAAGGGCGTATTGAGGGCGCGAGGATGTTGCGCCCGCTCTTTTGCCGTTACTGTCCTGCTCCCCATTCCTTCTGCTCCCGTTTGTCGACGTTCAGGGGTGTAACGAAACGTAGCAAAAGGGTGCGACATCTAGGTGGCGGGGGTGGTACAGAAAGCCGAGAAAGTGAAGGCCCTGAGGCTACCGCAGACCAGAGAAAGAAAGGGTGGCGTTGGTGCCATGTATGTAGCCATAGCCATTGCCAAGCGGGTGAACGCTCGCTTGTAAATGTGCACTATGTAAAAGCAGGCAGGCGGGCAGGCTCGTGTTATGTGGTATTTCCATGTGAATGGAAGATTGAGGAGTCGCCGTAGTGGCACTATTGGGGCCCTACCCCCGTATGCAGCCACGGGGACGTAGCAGCGGAAACCGCTGACGCCACGGCGGCGGTTCGTTTCTTTCAAGTTGTCGACATGCAGAACGTGCGGTACTACCTCTTCCGTCAACCCTGACTAACCGACGCCAGCACATGCTACCTCCAAGCGTCATAGTCTACATCCCGAAACTTCTATTTGCTCCTTGCCTGTTTGGCGACGCGCTCGCCATTGACGTGCTATGGTGTCGCTCTTCGCAGAGCACAAACGAGCCGTATTTGAAGACTGCAGCACATCACACATACAACCCCGACACGGAGCTTTCATTTTTTATGGTACTTCGGGTGAACTCTACCCCTCAGTCCTTGAAATCAAGCAAAGCGGGTTTAAATCAAGCAGAAATGCTAAAATCAAGCTTTAAATCGTTTTTACTATTATATAGTTTTATTTTTAAAGGTGATTTAACATCCAGAAGTCAAAATCGTTTTAGTCTTTCTGAATGCAGTTAAGCAACCTCTGGTCGGCGCACAAACAAGAAAGATTAGAAGTGGTATTTCAATGACTTTTCCTTGGTAATAATGCAGTCTTAGTTTCACGTCGGTTTTTTTGCCTCAATATGATTATATAGTATGTGTAATAACATTTGGTCTATGAGCACAAACGCGTGAGAGAAGATTGTGTGTGTATCAATGAAATTTATAATTCGTTTGCAAACATTGCTTTTTTACTGCTTTTACACAGGATTTTTACTATGTCTCTACAAATGTCTTTCACGGTTTGTCTAGAGTAACGAATTAAACTGTATTAATTAGCGAAGTCATCCATCGCTGTGTGTAACTTCCAAGCAAATACAGTGAGGTAGTCACACCTCCTATAATCAGAAGCCAGCTTAGCGGTATGCGAAATCGCTTCCCTTGTCTGTAGCGAAACCTATGGAGACTATCTAGGTAAACACGTCTATTTAAACAAAATATAAATGATTCACATACAACTACGTAAGGCCATCAACAAATCGATGGCTATCATGCTTCACTGAATTAGATTTTCTCGTCGTAACGGTAAATAACAGTGATACGTTTCTCACGACACGATTATTTTGGGAACCCTAGATAGTACGCGACTGTCTTTTCTGCAAGAACTTTTAGGAGCTTTCAGTGATTACATACCCTATTTCTAGAGTGTATAAGCTTAGGTAACGGGCGGAAACCTTTGTCCAGCAATTTCTCTAATTTCCGCACAACAACTCGATACGTCTTCTAGTTAGTTCAAGCACAGCCAGGACACCCATCGACAGAACGGTGTCCGTAATTGTAAAACGTTTATATACTGGCAATTCTGTTACGTTGAACAGTGCTTTCCAGCCGGTGTGTTGGATATATCGGTTGTAAACTGCAAACATAGTGTAAGTAAGTCGCTCTCCGTTAGATTACTGTGTGTTACAATCGCCGTAATACGCCCTATAGGTTTTCTCAACACCTATGTACACATCGCATTCATAGAGAGGTTACGTGAGGTCCTTCATAATAGAGCGTTCAATAGTAGAGTTCGTTTCCATAAAGAGGTATTATTCTATTTGTGGACCGGCTCAATTGAACAAAAAAAAAAGCCGCTCAACGGTTCGACAAAACGTATACTTTAATAGACCATAACTAGCTGATACAGTCAATTCACACAGCCATGTTTTGTAGGTTGCATGCATGTTTCTAGATGTATTTTTATTGTTTTTAATTATTTTCTATTTAGACCTTTGTCAAGTTTAAAACTCGGTAATGATTGCTCTCACCACCAAAATTTTACCTCACGTCCGTGTTATTAATCAGGTATAATTAATAAAAGCTAAATCATAAAAATGTTCTTACAATGGCTACACATATTGATTTGAATAAAATGGGCCTCAAAAAGAGAACAGAAGGCCCCAATAGCGGTTGGCCCGCCTAGTTGATTTGTTACGGTCTCTATGATTTCCTTTTACCGATTAGTTCACTGCGTAGTAAAGGAAGATCGACCAAGGACGAGAAAGGCCCACCTACACCACTTCGGTTACCAAACGGTGGCGGCAGAAGGGCGCGCCCAGTTCGAAGTGCACCTCCGTCGATAGCCGGCAGCCGCGAACGCAGTTTATCTTAATTTAAAAACCATCAGGTAATAATGAGGGAGGATGTGTCTCAATTGATATTAAGCACTCCACTCAGAGCTGACGTCGGCTTACGGACTGCCCTTCCGGCCTGAGTGCCTTTTGTAACTTCCACTTTGGTCTAACCGAAAGTTCAGCTTAGGTAGGAGGTCTACATCAGTGTAGAACGAAAAAGATCTGTCTGAGAGGTAAAACTGGGTTCAATACGAATATTGGTTTTTACAGTGACGATGAAAGTAGCCAGGGAAATAAAACGCGTCCGAGCGCTCGTCGCAGGCCGCGATTATTTGGATAAGGGCAATCGAAGTATGTTATGTTTGCTAACTTTCTTTTGTATTTGTATTTGTTATCTACGTTTACCAAGGAAGTCAACTTCACTAACTTTGATTTGTGTAAAGGTCCTTGTGATGACAGGGAAATTCTGCTAAAATTCCATTATCCGTACCAACTTTTGATGACGTAACATTTGACATCAGTGATTTCCAAGGGGCCGCACCTAAGCCATTTACACATTTGCCATTCTGACCATCGGCTTTTGGAGCAGGTTTGGGGCTAAACGAAAATATCTTAATTATATTTTAATAATTATGGCATCTTCATTACTGAGCGAAGTTTGATGTAATACGAACATGATTTATTTATTTTAAACTTACTCCAGGTTGTTAAAATGTGGTTCCGCTTGTTTAACCGCTGCATGAAAACTGTCGTTATAAAGCATCTTAACTGCCTTACAGTCCTTTTTATAAACCGTCCGGCAAAATCTAATGTATTCTCTCCGAAAAGTTATCTCGTGACATCAGATTAGTTACAGTCGATAACGGTACCGGATCGATATAGGCACCGTTACGCTGAACGTACATTCGTTAATTTCTAGATTCACATTCACTGGTCGTCGCTAATAACTAACAATGGCCGCGGAATCGTCGCCGGGGTGAAGCTTTCACATACGATGATTCCAAAAGCGATTTGTGTCTTTTGCAATCCCTGCAGTTTCACCCCTCTTCTGTCGTTAGTGATTTCATTCTTTTCGCGTGCTCTTGACACAAATTTGACTCTTTTTCTCTTCTTTTCATTTGGCATTCAGGTGAGAGGAAAGCGATTGCAGCAATCGAAAGCCCAACTCGGACCCATTTGAGATGCAGTAGAGCAGCTAACTGAACCAAGATACAGTAAAGAACTTGCGTGACGTAAGGCGGTTTTCCTTTTTCCAAGAGGATACCAAATGCACAACCTGACTCGTGTGTGCCACTGTCAACGCCTCCCTCTTGACCACCGTACTCTAATCATTTCCTTCTGGGTAAACAGAGAAGTGTTTCCCTCAGACTGAGAAATAATAGTGTTACCTAGGCGGAGCAGCCTCAAAGGTGAGCATCAGCACCAAGTAGCCCTAAACGAAAAGACCTACCCAATACCCAACGTAAGCTTGCTCAGAAAAAGACGGCTGAGTCTTTCCCTCTCTATTCCACCTTCACAGTACACTGGCTGCTGTCAGCAACACCCGCTAGTCGCTTGCGTCTGCTACTGATTCCGCCCGCCTATGCATTGCTACGGAGTCTTGTCAGCAAACCTGACCATTCTCGTTGTGTCTGTCGTGTACGACGACGCTATCCCCACTTTAAAAATTGTTCAGAAGGATCTGGCCGAATCGCTGGAAAAGTTACTGGACACTAGTCGACGGACAGCGTGGCTGGTTAAGCGACCCGAAGCAAAGCTGGATGGATAGTCACAACTACTATTATTGAAGACTGTGATACTAACCGCTGTTACCAGCACCGCCCCCACCATCGTCATTCCCTGAACGAAAAAGGGCGTCTGCATTAACTACGAAATTAGACTTGAACTTTGTGGATGAATGCGAAGCCGGCAATGCCGAGGAAAGTACCAGACAGAAAAGCGAAGTGGAAAAAGGGACACGAAGATAACGTAGTGACAGCGACGAGTGGCATGAACGAGTGGGCCGAATGGAAGTGAATGTTGTCGCGTGCTCTTCTTCTGTTCTGTCAACTTCTCTCCCTTTGCTACATCCCCTTCATTACCTCTTCAAGCATTAGCCTTTCTGTCCATAGCCCCCGTCCCCACTGTCCTTCCCAGAACAGGGCTTTGACAGTCGCTCCCTCTGTATCTTCTCTGACCGTCTGCCATTCGTCCATTCGCAGATGCTGTCCCAACCGGCCGGTTTGCCACGCATTTCCTTTCAATTCCACAGCCGTCCGTTGCATCCCTTCCTGCTCATCTGCAGACTTTGTTTCCCCGGGGCTCAAGTCGACTCGTCGAGTTCGTTGTCAGCGGTTACTGGCCAAACTCAAACTCCTGTGGGCTCACTTACTTAGCCAGCCTTTGTACAGAAAAGAGGGTTAGACCGGGTTAGTAGTAGCTAAACACTCTTCACTCCCCGGCTATTCCTCCAGAAACACGCTTGTTTGCCTGTGTAGCGCTCATTTTCCACGTCCGTTCAGTGGTCGCGTTGCGGTTACTACAGCAATCGTCAACAGCGTCAGGCGACGAGTCCACGAATGAGCTTGGTCCGCACTCTCATGAGCGTCATCAAGAATGAGAAGATGATAGCCGACCTTATCGCAAGTGAATGTTGTTTGGCCTAGTACGATAAGTGTTTTGTTAACAGTTACAGCAGCCAGCTGGCAGACGGATGGCGTTTTAAAATGTAGCTCAGCTGAATCAAATATCTCTTTCACTATTGGAATTAGTTTTTTTCGTAGTCAGCTTAAATTTGAAAGGTTATAAAGCAACCTATACGGTTTATTTTATCCTTTATGTTTCGAGTGTTTAAATCGATGTCACGTGTTTCTAGATACCAATAATAAACGAATATAGCTACAATGTAACTTAATGCGCCAAAAAACAATGATAAACAAAGAGTGACGATAATATTAAATGATGGGTAGATATTTCGATTGCGGAAAGAAAGTAACCTTGGCTTAACTATTTTTCACGCACGCGTGCTTAGATGAAGAAGAGGAATACACATAATGGAGGCTCTGTGCTACTAAGACTAAGATTGGAAAAGATTATAGCGTGATCGCAATCGCTGCTTGAAATAAATTATTGCCTGAAGGCCAGATCAATCCTCTAAATATTGGAATTGAATTGAGAATCTAAATTATACTCAAATGCTTATAGCAGCACAAAAAATTCTCTACCAGCGTAGAAAATGCATAAACTGTGTATCCTAAAATTTCATAAGGGTTCGAATTTTACTGCATTTAGAACCAACGTAAAATTTTGGACGCATTTTTTCAGGCGTGACAAGACGTTGTTGGCAATGATGGTAAGAAGGTGGTAAAACTAAACATCTCTACATGATTCGACTTTTGTATCGCATCTCCATATTGACAGCCACAGAGATGTCAGACAAAGTTGCATTCGAGTAACTTGTCCAAAATCCGCCCACTAAGTTGAAAGACGTTACACATTGAAATATCAAGCTAAACAGAAATAGAAGAATCTATACTATGCTACAAACCCGCGCCCTATTTGATTTTATCCCCCCTGGGCACTCTCTTAAACACAACACACAGTCTTGTCAGGTTCCGTGTTAGTGATCATCATGTGTTAACTAGGCGTTCCTGGTGAACCAAATATCTCGATCGACTGAAAAAAAAATGGCATCTATTACCAGAAGTCGACAAACTGTTTCAATGTTGACATCTCTTATACTTTCTAAACAATATCATACTTCTCGTTTGCTTACTGTGTATTACAAAATACAAAGCGCACTCTGTATGGTCTCACGTCGCCGTGAAACTGTCTAAAACTATCTAATCAGTCCTAGCTGCTTATAATTCCGGATCTATTTTCTCACACCGGTGCAGTGTTAGCGTGACTGCCTATTCACCTTAAACGTATAGAGGGGCCCTACGTTCAAATTTGGGCATGGACAGACTGCTATTCTGCAATAGAAGGCCCAGAAAGAGGAAAAGCGATGCATCTAGCGATTGTGCCTTCTTCTGCTTGGTCGTATCAGGTCTCTTGTGTTCAGCTCTTAACCCCGAGTTGTCCTTGAAGCATGCTGCGAAATAGCAAGCTGACCAAGAAAGGAGAGCTGAGAGGCAGCTGCAGAAAATGTTAGACAGAAAGGGTTTAGCTAAAATTAAGGACCATCAAAAACCTCGTTTTCGTATTGATTGTATAAATACCCTACAACAGTGTGGGCGTGATTGAGTCCAATTGTAGATGGATTATATACGTGTGAAGGAAAGTTCTGAAAGAAAATAATAAGTTGATATACCTTTTCGAGCGCAATGCCTGAAGGCCTGAAAGCTAGTGATTACTCCAAATCGAACAAAGATTTATCGATGCCATATACCGATTGCTAATGGTCGATTTGTCGAGTTGGGAAATAGCACCTGTGTCGTATTAATGGCTGTATTTAATCTGGGAAATCCTATAGCAGAAACCTTGTCATCGTAGAGCCACATATTGTTATTTCAAATTCTCTGTTCTACTAATCGATTAATTGCAATCCTACAACCTAACACACATGAACGTCGTGTACATCGAATCTAAAAACTAATGTATTTTCGGTCTACACCCGCAGTGATACGGCTTCACATCTGTAATATAACGAACATCAAAGAAACCATCTCCAAAGCTCGACCAGGCCTATCTGCTATCTCTCAAATGCGAATTACCCGAACGTATATACACACTGCTTCGTATACTGCCCATTCTGAAATACCTACTTACGTGTGTGTTCTGTAAATCTAAGAATGAATAGCGAACCCCTCAAATAGTTCACTAGCTTCGAGCACATCAGCTACGGGTACAAGTATGTTGGAGATGTCTTCTCTTCTCGATTTGAGAGTCTCGACCAAGTGGTCTTCAGTTGACGATCGGCGACTGCCGCTAGTGTCTGTACGGTGGCCTGTGACGTGCAAAGCCGTACACAACCGCTGGTCACTGGTGTACTCTCCATTCAGGAGGACACCTACCCCTTCCGCCCTTTAACCCTTCGATCTTTCCCCCAATTGCCAACTCCTGCCGAACCTCCGATCGTAGCCTCGTCTTTCCCCCAAGCTGCCTCCTCTGGTCTCCACCCCTTAACCCTGCTCCCATTCCTTCCCCTCTTCATGTAGAAATAAACTTTTGGATGGCATCGAAAGCCCTCGCCGCTGCTTTTGCACGATCTCCTCTCTTGATCCATCTCTCTCGCTTTCACTCATCGGACGAAACTGCTTGCTGCGTCGTGCGTATGGAATTTCAATGCGAGCTCAGCATCCGCCTGTGCTTTATCGCGTTTGCCCGTGTGTCTGTCAAAACCTAGCCACACATCAACTTCAGCACAAGCAGGCAGAATCCCTAACCAAAGCCCTCTACAAATTCTATCTTCATCTTCCTGCACCGTCCCCCGCCCCTCTTTGAAACGCCCGTGTTTCGCTACCAAACCTTCCTCTTGTGAGCCACACAGCTATACGAACGCACACACTCGTAGATCTATACATATACATATATATATATACATGCACGCTCAACTATACTCTACTTCGTTAAAGACTACTGTGCCAAAGTACTGGCCGGGTCTCCGCATATCCTCTCAATTTCGCCGATCCCAGAAATTCCACAGCCATTTTTTCGATAACGCGTAAAAAGCTGATGTTGTACTTTGTCCTGTTCACAGCGATTGCTGAAAGCCAAAGTGAGTCATGGTTACCGTGAAACATTCGTGCAATCGTACCGTCTCGTCCCATATGAGCGTCTATGACATGGCACTCAGGGCCTACCCAACAGAAGCGGGACCGAGACAGTACTATATAAATTCTGCTAAGCCAATAATTATTGATTTAGATGTGATGCTCGATACGATTCACATTTAAGACACAGACCTATTTTGAATAACAAGTTTCTCAGAAGCATTAAAACGAGCAATTTTCTCAGACCTTCAATATCTCTGTAGTTAATCCTTATGGGCTATTCAAGAAAGCAAGCCTGTGCATCTCATCACCATAGGCTATTCATATGGCATAAAAGGGATTTCTGTCTGTGCTAAGTATAATTATTTAAATACGACTACAGCAACACAAAGGGATCTGAAGAACGTGCAAAAGCTGAGGGCGATTGTTTACAGGGGCGTAATGATTACGACATAGTGGGAAGGTTTTTGTTCACTGGTACAAAGGTAGCTAAGTCTCATCGCAAGGGCACGATAGGCTCGTGAAAGTTAGAACTTTAACAGTGTGTCCCATGAGTCATTGATAACTTGAAGTATCCAGACATTATAAAAGTACACCGACATTTTAACACTGGTATGACAAAGGATACGGCTACTTAGTTTGGTAACGACTGTTCCCAAGCTAAGGCAAAATCAGTCATCTAAATATGGACTTTCTTATCGATAGATGAGATAGTT